ATTGCACCATACTATGAGTTGTAATTTTAGCTCCGCCCTACTCGGCTGTTCACAAAGTGATTCCGTGCGGATGGAATTACTCGAGTGATATCACTTCAAGTGACCAGGTTAGAAACCCATCTTAATAATTTTTTCCACGAAAGCAATTTTAAATAATTTTTAATAACGATTCACCAAAATACGTAATAATTGGTTTCACTGGGTAACCATACAATTATCAGTACTATTGCTGTAAACTATAAAATTATTCTGTTGTGAAAAAAGACGCTAGTAGCATGATTGCTGATAAACTGGTGGGAGTCGTGAAAGTAACGCTCAAGATCGATCAAGCATTGGATGCGCCATGTGCGCGGGGCTCATTTGAATGTCCACCCGATTGAAAGGGCATGACATCTATCCAGAGAACCAAGGAGTCCCTTGAGTAATCTACGCAGTCCTAGCAACGTCACTGTGACTGTTAACACCAAAAGAGGCTACTCTTCAGGATTAGGTCACCTCGCTAGAGAAGGGCGCTCGATTAGGTGAACCTGGTACTATCAACCACCAGGCCAAGCCCTACTTCAATTTTTAGCATTTTATTATAGTATCGTTACTATTTTTTATTAGCCATGCTAACCTACTTATTGAAACTACAGTATCAAGCAATTTTAGATCAAAACCTATCTCCAATTTTTTTTTATTTATATTGTCACTATTTCTAGAGTCTCGATTTGACGTCCGAACCACCACCGTACGAACTGGCAAATTCATTCGCCGAGTCGCTGGATGAGAAGAGAACAGGCTAGCCATAGTCCAAAGTCAGATAAAAGGTGAGACTTGATTTTGAGAAAAAGAAAAAAAACAAGGAATATGGAATGCCTTGCGCTGGTTGAGCCATTCTGAGGGGCGCCACGCATTCGTCTACCCTTCAAAATCGTAGCGGTATTTAGGCGCGTATGAAATCGATACTAGTTGGGGTCCTAAATTAGATTATTATGGTTTTAGTTAAGATGGGTCTAGTAGATAATCGATGAACTAGGTTGGACAAGACGGGTACAGTTCGAATTTGATTTCAACCATTCGCGTAGAAACAGCGCCTTTTCTTATTGTCGCACATCTGCCCATGGTTCCATTTAGTGTATACAACTTTATTATTGATTTATATTGTTCACTGCTTTTGCTGAATTTTCCATGTCAAGCAGGTCACCAGTGTCGTCGCGACGAAACTCTGACGTCACAAAGAAGCTGCTCAAAGCCACCGATTCACTTTTAACGAAGAACTGCCAGAAGTTACAGCGAAAGGAAAACGGCAGTCCATTGGCACCAAGGTACTTACAACTTTTCCATATACCGCTAAGATTATGATGGCGGTGACCTAAAGGCAATGGCCATGAGATGGCAGTATGGTGGTGCGTTTTCGATGGCGTCGTTGAATGTCATCGAAGGAAGAGCGTTGTAGTGAGACCCCACCAGCTCTCCCCCCCCCCGCCCCTAGCGCGTTGGGATCTCATTTTAATCCACCATTTACATTCAATAACGTCCTCTG